TTAAAATAATTGACAGTAATGTTTTCTGTTGTCAAGCCATAGTGTTTTCATAGAAATTTATAAAAACACTGATAATAATTCTGAAGGTATTATTTCAGCCCAGCTGAGAAAAATATCCCTGGAGTATATAGAACTCCAGAGACCTTTTCCAACCATTGATCTTCATTACTACAAAGGGCCTTTTAGAGTTTTATATTTAAAGTAAATGACTTTATACTTCCAAGTTATTTAGTCTTACAAATGGATTATTTAAATATTGGCTCTAAGTTTTGGAATGTTTTCAATAAGTTACATGCATGCTATGCTGCTTATTACCCAATTACTCACAAAACCCTTAATTTTTTAGTATCTGTGGGTGCAAAAAGCAATTTTCTAAAAAATTTTATACATGTACACATCATCCCAGTATATCATATATGCAAGACTAAGTATGTTATTATATACCTTTTAAACAACTGACTGTAATATGATTTGACAAAAAGGATGGCATGATAATATATTGCCATTATGTACCAAAGAAGTAAGCATTCTTATATAGCAAAATCGTGTCTAGAATGTCCAAAAGATATTCTAGAAATATGTAACACCTTTTTGGAAGTTCTTTTTCATCTAAAGGCGTGTTTGTGGGCAATATCTGCCTCTAAGTAACAGACTTATGAAAACTTCAACAGTTGAAACCAAATAAGTATAGTAAAGAGACCCCTGAATTTGAAGAAGTAAGGCAATCAGAAGCTGAGAGTTACACTAGCTCTGTCATCTGGCACTATAGCTATCTCTCTAGATTTTTTTTTTGGTACCTGTGAAAGAGTGCATTATTTCTAAGGTCCTTCCAACTTTAAAATATCATGCAAGGTTAAAAAAAAAAAAAAAAGGAATTTAGGTTTGATTTACCCAGGCAGCTGGCAGTTGTCTCCGTTTTAATCTGATGAAGAAAGAGAAAATCTCTTCTGCCCATTTGTTATTAAGCCCTTGACTATTAACATTAAAATAATTCCAACTAGATTAGTGTATTCTCACTAAAATTGTAAGTCTATAGAAAGTGAGATAGTTTGATTCAAGTAAATAATTATAAGTGGTAAACTTATTCTGTCACTAAACTTTGGAATCCTCCAGAACTTAACCAAATACATTTTAGCATCTGGAGGCTTACTAGTAAATTGTAAGACTTGTTCTTAAAAAGAATTTCATCAACTTTTGATGACTAGTACTTAGCCACGCATGTAAGATACTTCTGGTAGTCTTAGAACTGTAGTGATTTTCTTTTTTACGAAAGCATTTAATTTTGGAATCTTGATTATTCAAGTTTCAGGGATTTTCTATTGCTTTCAGGATTAGATCCAGTTTCTTTAACCTGACATTCTAAATTTGCCACAATTTGGCTTCTACCTACTTGTTCTTATCTTCTTTCCCACTCTTACCTGCTCAGACTCTCAGCCATAGCTAAACTGGTATGATCCTTGAGCCCCAGATATGTCATAGCATTCTTGCCTGCTTGCATTTATTAATATTAATGACATTCTCCTTCCTTGCCACTTTTCTGAATCCTGCCTTTCTTTTTTTTTTTTTTTTCTTTTTTGCAGTTTTTGGCCGGGGCTGGGTTTGAACCTGCCACCCCCAGTATATGGGGCTGGTGCCCTACTCCTTGAGCCACGGGCGCCACCCTGAATCCTGCCTTTCTTAAGGGCCCAGCTAAGTCTCACTTTATCTACACATCCTTTCCACCCAGGCCTGTTTTCAGGTAACTAGCGGCTCCCACAGCCTCTGGTGTCTCTACACTCATTTGACACTAAGATTCTGCCATCCTGTGTGGTAACTCTTCTTTATGTTCAAGTCATTTCTATCCAGTTGGTTTGTAAATTCCATGAGGGCAGAGGTGTCCTCTTTTACTTTTGGTTTTCTTTATTTGATGCTTTACAAATTATTGAAGTAATTCATGCTTGTTGAAACCTGTGAAACTAAACACAAAAATAATAAACTGTTGAACCAGGCACATTTTAAACATCTTATAGACATTAACTCATTTACTCTCACAACAGTCCAATAAAATAGATATTACTCTTACCCACATTTAATAGAGGAAGGAATAGAGGTAGAGGGAGGTAAGTAACCTGTACAAGATCAGGAGCTTGCCATCAGTTCTTATAAATAAAGTTTTATTGAATCATAAGTGCACCCATTCAGTTACTAAGAGTCTAAGGCATCTTTTGTGGGACAATGGCAGAATTAACTACAAAGCCTAAAGTATTTATTATATGACCCTTTACTGAAAAAGTTTGCTGACCATTGCTCAAGATCACATGGCTTATTAGCAGCCAAACAAGGATTTGAACCTGGCTCTTTGGTTCCAGAGTTCATACTTCTAAGCACTCCACCATGTTGCCTCCCTCATATTCCTCCACCCTCAAGCCACCCTTTGAGGTGACTAGTGTTAACAACTTCATGTGCTGCATTCCATACTTTTTTTCTTGCAGACCTTTTCATACAAATGTGCACAATCATCTATCTATACACACACACAGAGTTGATTCTAGTTATTCATAGCAGTCATGTTCTATAAGTTGCCATGAATG